ACTTTGTTCTTATTCTTGTTGTGCGGTTGTTGAGATTATAGCTTTTTTGCCTCATTCTTCGATTACGAACCCGCTAAACTACGAAGGATAATTTTGAATAAGTGGTCATTATCCCGATTTCTCATTTCTATCTTAAATAAGGCACCAAATTTTTTATATACTGTACTGCACATCTCACCAAAACACTTATCAATGGGTTTGAATTAAAGTTATCTTCCAATGTTAAAGCGACTGTCTCAGTTAACACAACATAACAAGATGTCAAAACAGAGTTTACGTTTACTTTGAAGATGTAAAACCTGTTAAAATCAGCTTTTATCTATCGATGGCACAATGTAAATTGTGCCATCGATAGATAAAAGGTTAAAGAAATTTAAATGATTAATAAAATATCCGACAACGATTAGAAATTTACTAGTGTAGAACATTCAAAAAACTTTCTAATCTGGTTAATAAGTTTAATCATGATTTACATACTGGGGAGAAGCGCCTCAAAGTAAAGGTCAGCTGCATCATGTCACTCTGATATGTGTAAAAAAGTACATATTATAAAGACTGTTTTAGTTTTTGGAGGAGTTTTACTGGTTTGTTTTAATATTCACATTATTTTTTCACATGTATTTTTGTAAATTATATTTAGATGTATTTCCACACGTTTAAATATAATTTAAGAAATATTCATATTAATTTATGTTATTGCATACACAAATACTCATATTAATTTATGTTATTAATTATAAAAGTATAATTTTGATATTACATTTTGTATCTTTATTGGAGCTTCTAATACGTATAGTCTATGAAATTATATCAATCATATTTATCACGAGATAATAATTTTAAAAAAAACTATGAGAGGAAAAATTGATTTAATAATTCTGAAAGATTGATTAGTTTAATTACAATAATTCACAATTTTTCTAGAAATCAATAAAGTACCAAATTATTATGATTAAAGTACACCTATATATTTTGATATGGTGAAATTTCATAATATGCCAAAGACATTTCCGTAAAAGTTAGTACAGAAATTCGCCACTATGGTATTTTTGAGCTGCATACAATAAAAAACAATTATATTTGCAGGGATATTTTAAAGTGTGATTTGTCAAGTAATTTTCGCAAATTTTTCAGCCTTGAAAGACAATGTCATATCGCATGAGAACCAACACAGATCATCAATTTTTATCGCCTCTTAAACACTGTCTATTGTCTTCACACATATACCGCTAGAACGGAGGCCACATTAAGCAGCATCGCTTGCATTGCTGTGGTCTTTGTATGGCATAAGTGCCTTCTACAAACGAAATTTTGTTGTTTGCAGAGCCAAACGTGCAATGTGTGAGTTTTGGTACTTATTTTAATAGAAATGATTTTCACGTGTTCTAAAATGTCATCATACCAGATTTGGTTGGTTACAATTTAGGATGTTTCTTTTTAATGGAACTACTGTAAATAACTCTCTAGACAGCGTTGAATAGTGGTACAGTAATTACGTTCACCAGATACATTAAAATATTACAAATATAAACAGTTGAGAGAATTCATTTCATCAAACATAAATTTATAACTAATAATTAAACACGTTTAAAATTAAACTCACACTAAACGTGCCCAAAATTTATGAAATTTAATAAAATAATAAATATCTTTTTGATCATCTGTAATTAATTACGAAATGTTCATTATTGAAGAAGGCATTTTCTTTATAAATTTATATAAACGATCAATTCTTTATTATGACATAGTCACAATGCCGGGCTGCAATTTTTAATCATTTTTTAAACTTCAAATTAGAAGTGGTTTGCCCCTGTACATCATACTTTTCCTTTAACAATAGAGTCGTACCGGTCATCTATTAACTGCTTTCAGGGGAAACATTTTGAATTGAAACAACATGACTTACGGTTTGCGTCGGAAGTTCATATATAGCCTTGTCTTTCACCTATATAAATCCATTCTCGAGATTATACAAAGACAGACAGACAAACAGACGATATTGGGAATTTATAGGTTTACAATTTTTTCAAATTGTAGCCCAATTAAGTTTTTAACTTGTCGAGAATATTAGTATTAACCAATTAACATGAACTGCACACTGTTTATTTTTATATAATAATCCATTTGCAGAAACATACTTGTATCTTTTATTAAAATTTTCTTACAATATTCAACTTTAATTTATGCCTCAGGCGATTTAAAATGTTAATTGAGTACAATTTTAAAGTGAGATACAAGAACTTACAGAAGATTATTCGGTTTCTTTAAATTTTAAATAGTAACTTATTGAATAAATTAAATAGATCCCAGATTTAAAAATAATGTTTTCAACTAATCCTTTTTCCTAGAGAGTTAAAAATATTTATAAAAATAAATTAACAATAACAAAGAATATCAGACAGACTAAAATTTTGTTCTTTAAGTTAAACCATGATAGAAAGTGATTAAATAAGAGAGATTCAGTTTAGAAAGGATCAGAATTTTTAATGTTAATAAAAAGTTTACAATGCCAAGAAGGATATTAGATTATAAAGTATAATGGATAAAGGTAAGAAGATTTTACGAATTTTTTCTAAATTGGAATTTACTCAGAAAATTCCGAAAGATATTCCAGTAAAAATGTTTCTTCTTTGTTTTATAGCTATCATGGAAAAAGCTTTTGCTTTGTAATTTTGCTGCATTTATCAGTAGAAAATTACTTAAATAAACAGAATAATTTCTACATCCTCACAACGAATGGATTTTCTTAATTGACAATCAAATACCAAATCAAAATCAATGGGAAAGTTTATTTTGAGAATATAACATTTGTTGAGATTCCTCTTTTCAATGTAATCTGAAGAACTCCAGACTATGATGCCAACTCCTAATTTTATAGTCCATTCTTCTCACAGGTTTTTATCAAATGGATTCATTAATCACATAATAAAATATACAGTATCTTATGTTTAAAATTATAGCTAACACCCTTTTAAAGTTATTCGTTAATCTATGCAATATAATTATCATATACTAAATTACAAATAGTTATACAAATATATATTATTTACAAATAATAATACAATTAAATAATAATATTAACAAAAATCATTATAATTGGTTTCAATTATTTCATAAATTAATAAAACTTTTTTCTTATATTTTATCAACGTTACAATTGTTTAATGAACTTAAATTATTTCTTCTATTATATAAAATAAACAATGTAAAATTAACAAAGAAATAATATACAATAAATTTTGAAAAATAAATTTTCTTTTCATAATTTTAATTTTATAATTTTATAATTTAGATTTTATTTCACATTGTGATATTTTTTACACTAAATTATAATATTTTTAAATTAAACTTATAAAAATAAAAATAAAAGTTACTAACAATCAAAGTTTGTATACATTTTTTTGGACACCCTGTGTCAGCATGACACAAGAAATTGAAATAACAAGTTAATTATAGACTACTTTTACAGAATAATAATTAAAATTAAATCAACTAATTAGATAGTTAATCTGTATTATTTTTTCTGTATTTTAATAAAAACAGTTTAGAAGATCATCATAGTAATGTCATTAAATTCGCATTTACTCATTTTATTATATTTTTTTATTAATCACAGATATATATTATAGAAAAAAAAGGAAATTTCACATTTCGCGTGCCTAAATAATGGTCTACTTCCACGTATTTTATAAAATAAAGGAAAACCACTAGAATATTCATTAAATATTTAAATTTTGTACAAAATTCATCACTATGCAGTAAGTTACTAACAAAACTTATTATAATTTATAAGAAAGTTTATTCATTAAAGAAACAAAATATTAATATATAAATAAATTTACCAGCGAATAAAAACTTTTATATTCTTTTAAACTTTAATATATATCCAAAAAAACACGTTTAATATTTTACTAATCAGTTATCACACCTATTATTTTCCAATTAGGTGAATACGCATCTCTGTTTTTATATCGTTAATAAATTGCATCTAGCAAAATAGTGTGGTTGTAGAACATTATTAACGTTATATTTATATAGTTAGAAGTTATTAATAATTTTGAAAAAGCTATTATTATAAATGATACCAGTTAGACTTAAGATATTAGTAATCCCTAGCCTTTTAATAAGTTCAGCTTTTGACATTTATATTCTTTTCGTTACAATATCTTGGCTTTTAAATTATTACTTACAACAGAATTTTAAAATTACAATAATATTTTGTTTACAAAAATCTGTTGTACGCTGTCTATTATTTGTTTTATATATTAATTTAGTTTTCCTGTACTCTCTTTTGTAGTTATAGCATATTGTAATATCATAAATTTAATACTTTATGATTTAATAAAAATTAAATCTAATTGTAACACTTTCTGTATTGAACGATACCGCATGTTTTAGAAATTAACTGTTTTAGAATTGTTAAGAAAGTTCCTTCTTCTATTTTCTGCATCAGTATTATACGTATTTTTAAATTCGATTTGAGAAATGACTGAAAATATCTTCGATTCTAAGCTTTCATTTGAACTCATAGTTAATATTATAGTAAATAATCCTGTCTTCTAAATGTTCTTAGTCTTTACCAAGTTCATTATACTTTAGTAAAATTACAAGAATTTTTCTTAATCTTAACATAATTTAATAAATGTAATTTGTCTCATAATTTATAAATATTAACGGAAATTAATATGTAATCCTTTCTTTTATATTTGACATCTCTTGCTTTTTATGTGTGAAATTATTTACATAATCAATTTTTCTGTTACTTTTTTAAACAGAATATAAACATGGTCTGTGGCTTGAGTGATAGATATTCTTCAGCCGAGTTTTGCGATTAGTGTCGTCTTACGGTGAAAGAGTTGGAATGTTGAATCGTTACCGAGAAATGTGATTAATTTCCTAAAACAAACGATTTTTAGTTAGGTCTGAAGTATCTCAAATATCCTAATTATATTCTCTCAGGATCACTTTTGAACATTTTATTATTTTCTTTTTTTTTTTTTTTTTTAAAAAAAAAAAAAATTACCTACGAAGCTACGTATTTTCCCTAGAATTAATGAGGCATCGTATTCGACAAACAACGATCTTTCATCACGGAGGAAACGATAATCTGGATGTTTTCCTGAGAAAAACATTAATCAAAACACTAATAACTCCATCGACAGCGAACATTTCTTCTAGAAAAGTATCCACTCCGTTTCTGTAAAGGTTTTTTTATTATTTTAAAGTGTTACAAACTCGCTCTTCCTTTAAATTAAATGTTAAATAAACGATTTACCTCATTAACTCGTTCAACGTCAGGGATGGTTCGGTGTTCCATAGAGATACAATTATCCTGCAGGCGTGCATTCGAATTGACTCTACTTCCGATCGTAGTAGAATGTTAATCACCGGTTGTATACGTTGTACCTATAATAAAATGTTAAGCTGTTAAATGGGGGGGATTTCTACAAGATTCGTCTTTGTTTACATTCAGTTTTAGCCCGTTATACAATGGATTAAACTGTATATTTTATTTTTCCAGTATTTATAGATTATTTTGGCATATAATACATTAAAAAAAGTGAGAAAAACACTCACTAATAGAAGCGAACTGGGTGGAAATTCAGAAAAGTNATTTTGAAAACTCGACCGCTCATTGGTTAAAAGACATCAGACCATAGGCGGACGTCTTATAGAGCTGGTAAATGCTGATTGGTGGAATCCAATGCTGTTTCAATCCTATAAAAGCATAGGAGTTCTGGCGGGAAGTTCAGTTTTACTTCGGACATTGGAAGTGAACTCACGCTGACCTTAGTTCGCCTAAGCTGTCTTAGAAGACTGCCTCATCTTGTTGTATTGTTGTGGAATTTGAATTTGTACGTCGCAAGGTGCTCTTCTGACGGACCTGTTGCAGTGGATAGTTACTTTGAACTTTGTTAATATCTAATGTTTGTAATTCTTATATGTGAACTTTAATTGTAATTGTACATATGTTTATTTTCAAGTATACATTAAGTTTTAAATTTAACTGACTCGGAAGTATAATTTGAAGTTGACTGATAAGATATATCTAATGCGGATACTGGTTCTGCGGGTTCTGCAATGATGGAGGCGAAGGACTCTTCTTTCTGAGTGCCAGTTTTAGTTCATGTTACGAAAAATAATCTTTTTTTAAACGCACACAATGGTATCAATGTTTTACGCAATTATAGGGCAAAATTTCTGGCTTCTGATTATTGTATAGCATTTGAAAGAATAATTGGCAACATGACGTGCATTTATAAAAGTGTTTTTAGTTCGGAATATGCGACATGTATTGTAAATACTTTTTAAAATATCTCTGAAAACGTCCAAAACTTCAAACAAATTTACCCCGAATTACGGTTACATCTTTTTAAATATTAGAAATTTAACTGTTAATCTTTAAGTCTTTAAATTTAACATTTTTAATGCTATCTTACGTAGGTTTATATAATACATAGTAAATATAATAAATTTAAATTAAAGATGTTCAGTTTAATAAACTAAAACAATAAATCCAATAAGTATAAATTAATATCCAATATATTAAAATACAAAAAGAAAATTCTGATTTACATGCTTTTATTTGTTTTTACATATAAATTACTTTTCAGAATAATTTAAAAATTTTTAATAACATTATAAATTTAGAAGATTAGAAAATAATTATTTACAGATGCGAAAATTGAAATCTAACTGCGTACAGTCAACAAATTTTGATTAACGATCGACTACTCGTGGATGCTGAAGCATTTCAACTCAGATCCACAAATTCCAAAAATTTTCGAAACGTTAACTAAATTTTAAATGGCATGAACCCAAAATATATAGGAAATAAATTGATTAACTCATGCTTCAATGCACAAAAGTAGAAATACAGTAAGGTTCTAATAAGAAATCCCAGTCGTTATTCATTTGGATTTCTTGCAAATAATCCTTACTAAGCCACACTATATAACTGTCAATTTGTGGTATTAGCAAAATAAAAAAAGAAAAAGAAAGATTTACGAAATAATTGTCTACTTTAGTTATAAGATTGTCATCGCTTCGACACGAAATTTGATCATTAGTAACAATTACTAATAAGATTAAACATAATTCGTAACTAATTCTTATTGAAAGTAATAAATAATATAACTTCTCCTAAGAAGTAATTATAATTTTTTTATGTTGATTCGCAAAAATATTGCTTAATTCGAAATCTTCCATCATATTACGTGTTTCAAGAATGTTTCCAAGCCCAAGTGGAGTTTCGGTTTTACCAATTATATATTATTGATTTATTGTACTGTACAGTACATCTGTTCAACGTCATTTGGACATTGTACCCGTTGCCAATGAAGATAATTTTTTTTTATTTTTATGAATTACAGTAAATCTGTTTGTCATTTAATAATTTTGGACATTTTCGACAAAAATTTATTGTTTCAATAATTCATTCCAAATTCCATTAAATACACGTGCTTAGTCACGATAGAATGTATCGTACTTATAGTTTTTGCAGTTATTAATGAAGCTTTTCTCATCAGATCATATGATTTTCGTAGTCTCTAACTCAAGACGAAATTCGCGGTAATTGTTATTGAAGCACTTATGCTTCTTTCATCCATTATTTTCAGATCTTGCTTTGAATGTAATTTCGTTACGTTTTCATTCTTTTCATTAAGTACACGCCAACTGACGGTTAAATTACTTCAAATAATTCATAATATTATCATATTTGTAACCGAACGGGTGAAATTACGTAACATAATGTCATAATTTTATTCGAAAATTATAAAAAAATCTTAGATTCGAAAAAAGTTCGGATAATTCGTAGATGTGTTTGTTTTGATCCCCTGAATTTCGAAATGACGATGTTCACTGTAATAAATTACAGTTTTAATTTGTTATAATTTATTCTTATATATTCCTGAAAAGTTACGCACCAAGTAGGGAACGTTGGAATCGAATGAAACTTTATTAGTGCGAATATACGATATCGTAATTACTTATCACAATCATTAACACTACGACGAGAATCAGTGATTACAATATCATACAACAACAATTTCCGTGGAACAACGGTACAATTTAAAGAATAATTTAGTACCTGATACGACTTCCTGTTTTCTAGCCGCATACAGCGATACATTCGGGTATAGAGGCATATAGGTATTACATAGTATATTGTGACAGATTTACCCATAGATGTTGCAAGTGCCACTTCAGATTTCATACTTTCGAAGACGACTATAGGTAACGTTCAATCAGGTCCCACAAATCATCAAATGGAACAAATCTCTCTTGATAGTCTATTTGTGGCATCTAGAGACTAGCCACTGTGTACTTGTGTTTTGTCTAACTTTCAAAACCTCCAAACAACAGGCGACAATTATTTTAAAAGCCCCCTATAAGTTTTTGTTAGATATTAGGATAGCGATTGAAAGGCATGCTAGTGGCATTCCTGGAGTGCAATGAAAGATAACTGGTAATAATTTACATACCTGTGAGAATATAGGTGTATGTCAAGTTTGCTGTAATCGGACAATTCTAGCTTGGTGTGTAATTTTTTTTCTCAATGAGTGTAATAAAAAAGTGAAGAAAATTACTTTGTTTTATAAAAAAAACTTCCTTTTCAGCCATTTCCGTCTTGGGAGTAGTATTTGGATACTATAGGACTGTAATTATTTTGAATCTTGTGTAATTATATAAGACAATTCTTTCTATATTCAGTATTTAACTGAATACTGTTCACAATTTAATTAAAAATAATAATTAGTAAACAAGTATTATAAATGAAAATACTGGTTTGTTTCACATATTAAATTATCTTTCAAGAACTCTGAAAACTACAGTTACTCGATGAAACAAATATTCGTAAAGGTCAATTAGAAATTATTATTTTATAAACTATGTAGAATATACAAACTAAGGATTATAATAAACTTTATTTTATCTACATTTAAGATAAAAGTAAATTTTTATAATTTATGATCCTCTTATGTGCAGGACTCCATTGGCCTTGCAAGCTTAATGAACTGACTAGTGACAAAAAACACTCTCAAAGCTCTTAGGGACTTTGCAAAGAACATTAAAATATTGGATTAGTCTCCATCATTCTCCTTATCAACTCTAAGTGGTGTTCTGCTTCTTGCACAATCGTTTGGTGTTTGTGTGTCTACTGTTTAAATCTTATCCCATGTTATCTGCAACGTTGTTAACTTCTGTTATGCACTATATTCGTATACTATTTATATCTATCTACTAATATTCTTACTTTACCGAGTAGTTATATTGTGTTTTGGTTTCAATATATCTACTAAATATGTCGTACAGCTTTTTTTTCCACCTGTTGTAATTATCGCGTAATAATCTCTTGTATATGTCTAAGTTTACCTCTCTATGCATTTTTCTGTATTTTATTTCACAATTATTTAATCACTATACTTTATTTTTGGTGTATTTTATTACCTGCCGCGAATCTTATGTTTAACATAAGTTATTAGTATGTATCTATGTATCTTGTATTCGGAATTTTGTATTTTGCAACTTGTTCTATTTTAATAAATTCCCCGTGAGGCACATAACCTCCCCTTCCCCTTCCCCACTCTTCAACATTTTCACCCTCTTGGCCCCTGCCACAAATCTTTCTCTCATTCTTTCCCTTGTTATTTTTCTTTCACCCTCCTTTTAAAGGCTAGACCTACGAGTACGGCCTTCTTCCCCTTTCCTCATTGTATTGTATTGTATTGCACATACCTCCATCTACATATATATATATATATATATATATATACATTNATAATATTTCTAAGTATTTTTAATAAATTTTATTCATTGATTTAAAAAGATCCAAATATGAATATTCAATTAAAAGAAGGAACACAGAAAAATGAATACAGCCTCCTCATAATGTGTCTTCTTTTACATACCTTACGAACAGAACAAAGACTTTGTTCTTATTCTTGTTGTGCGGTTGTTGAGATTATAGCTTTTTTGCCTCATTCTTCGATTACGAACCCGCTAAACTACGAAGGATAATTTTGAATAAGTGGTCATTATCCCGATTTCTCATTTCTATCTTAAATAAGGCACCAAATTTTTTATGTACTGTACTGCACATCTCACCAAAACACTTATCAATGGGTTTGAATTAAAGTTATCTTCCAATGTTAAAGCGACTGTCTCAGTTAACACAACATAACAAGATGTCAAAACAGAGTTTACGTTTACTTTGAAGATGTTCTTCCTTTAATATGTAAAACCTGTTAAAATCAGCTTTTATCTATCGATGGCACAATGTAAATTGTGCCATCGATAGATAAAAGGTTAAAGAAATTTAAATGATTAATAAAATATCCGACAACGATTAGAAATTTACTAGTGTAGAACATTCAAAAAACTTTCTAATCTGGTTAATAAGTTTAATCATGATTTACATACTGGGGAGAAGCGCCTCAAAGTAAAGGTCAGCTGCATCATGTCACTCTGATATGTGTAAAAAAGTACATATTATAAAGACTGTTTTAGTTTTTGGAGGAGTTTTACTGGTTTGTTTTAATATTCACATTATTTTTTCACATGTATTTTTGTAAATTATATTTAGATGTATTTCCACACGTTTAAATAT